CAAGTGTGCTGAGGCATCTGTAAACAGTTCGAATTCTGGAGACGATATCCAGTTTGGGTTGAGGAGGGATGCTGTGTCGTTCCATGATGGCAAGAAGTCACACCACCATTGAACATCATGCCGGAATTCGTCAGTGAGTGTTATGACTTGAGAAAGTCTGGTGGCTGTCATGCTGATATCAATCATGCGCCTCAGGAAGATGCGCCGGCTGGTATGCACTTACATGCGAAACTGCACGATGACTAATGATCCAGTGAATGGCATCAGCAATGCGGTTGAAGAGGTATGGTTCTGAGAGAAGCCCAAATGGCAGCACATGGTCAAAGAAATAGCATCCTTCCCCCCAAAAAACGAGCAGGTGCCAGTCTTCCTTCCGAACTGGCCAAAAGCGAAATGCATGTTTAACGTCGACTTTTGCGAGAAGGGAGCCATGGCCATGTTTGTGAATAAAGGATACAGCATTATCGATGACAAGTAGACCAATGAATAATCTTCTTTTGAGATACTGTCATAGTGCCCTATATGCAGCAAATGTCAACCAACATTCTAGCCAGCTTGCTAGATCACGAATTTCATTCTTTTTTGCATGTTTTGAGAGAACAGCAACTGAGGGATCGTCCAAAGCCACTCGGGTGTTTGAGATCTGGGTGGCATTTGGTTTTCTTGAGTCAGGGTGTAAATCGGACAAATCAACAAACTTACCCGGTTTGCTAGTTGACTGAGTATTTGCTGGTCGACGTATGGTAAAAACAAGTCTGCAGGTGGGATAATAGGAGGAACTGCAATGCTGGCATTGTTTATTATCGGCATCGCCTGTGTCGCAGTGTTGATACCGAATGCGGAAGTGAGGATGTCCTCACCGGCAAAACGTTGTATGAGAGTGGCCATGTCAAAACGTTGTTGACTAGGATTACCGTGAGCGAGCGATGCTTGACTTGTGGTAGCTGGAAGTTGTTGGTGAAACATCAAATTGTCTTGATGAGCGGTATTATTGTGGACGATCGCATTATGTTGGCTAGCTATTGACCAGGTCATAGGAAGGCTGTCATTTGTGAGAGAGTCAGTTGGCATCGAACTTGATGGCGTTGTTTGGCTTGGGTCGCGTGATGACGCAAGGCTTGCCGATAGTTGTGGAGCAGCCGGCAGTTGCGAAATATTATTCGGCTGCATTTGACAATATCCTCGCTGTTGTAGGCTACGAACGAGATCTGCGAGTTTGCTTTTACTAACTGTGATGATGTCGCTGGAGGAGTTCGTTGACTGTAGTACAGTGAAATCTCCATTGCCTGCTGACTATTCTTGTGGAGGTGAGTCAGTTGCGTCTATAGTCTCAGCATTTTGGAAGCGAGCTGGAGTACGACGATTTCATTGAGACTTGCAGCCGCCACAGCCGGTGTTAGATCTTTCGCGTCCTCGAGGCATGTTGGAACTGGATGTCGTGAAGAAAGACTAGTATTTGTGACAAAATGAATGGTTGGAATGCGTTAGCAAGGAATTATGCTGAGATGATGTGTATCATACGGTGCGGCAAAACGAACTGATGCTTGAAGGGGACGCGAGCAAAGATAAGCAGATAAAAAGTCTGGTGTTAATTAATGTAAATCCGACTGAAGGACGAAATGTGAGCAAATATTGCATGAAGCACAATGTGGCATGGGAGGTGTGAAAATATGAAAGGGGGATACCAGCTTGGTCAATGCATGTCATAATTGAGCATTAACACAGATTATAAACTATATTCATAATCATACTATGTTTTTAATATTGTGTTTTGATATAGCATGTTTAGAACAGAATTGATTATAATATATCAAATACTACTAGTGTTACTTTTGCAGCACTCTGTATTTTATCTTTTAATGAAAATGAAGAAGACTATTATGCATGAGCAGTGATTGTTATTGCACAATAATCAAATATATAGTTAGTCCATAAACATTATTAACACTATAAAATATACAGATAATACATTACACATACAACAGTACTTACAATATACAGT